TAAGTAACAATGGCCTTAGTCAATTACAGGGCTTGGCTCCCATAGCAGAGTTAGTGGCTTGACAATGCATTGTTACAATGTATCTCTGCAATGTCAATTTCAAGCAGCCCCTTGCACAAGCTTGAGCATGCCCTGGAGCACAGAGGGGGGGAGGGGGCTGTTTCTGGCTACATAGGATTATATTCTTAACAGTTAGGATTATATTTTTAACAGTTCTAAGTTACATGACCTAATACATTATATTCTAAAGGGACAATAATAATAATAAATCTAAACATTTAACAATCTTAACAAATAATAATAATAATAAGAAGAAGAATTAATAATAAATCTAAACACTAAGTTGTGGGGAACAAATTATGGGGAGTCACTTCCATTTGGAGGAATCATTTTCAATACATTAATATGTTATCCCTACACAAGGGGATGGATCATAACATACAAACTCTGAGAATTTTGAAAGGAGAGAATCATAACCTGTTAGGGATGTAAAATCCCATTTAATTGGTTAAACATAATGGCTGTGTTTACATTGGCGCGATCTTCCGCCAAAGCGGCTGCTTTTGCGCAAAAACATGCTGCCTGTCTACACTGGCGGGGAGTTCTTGAGCAAGAACACTGACGTTCTAATGTGTGAAATCAGTGCTTCTTGTGGAAGAACTATGATGCTCCCGCTCAGAAATAAGCCCTCTTGCGCAACTGAATTTCTTGCGCAAGAAAGCCCGATGGTTAAAATGGCCATTTGAGCTTTCTTGCACAAAAGAGCATCTACACTGGCACGGATGCTCTTGCGCAAAAGCACATCTCTTACGCAAAGGCACATGCCAGTGTAGATGCTCTCTTGTGCAAATATTTTAACACAAGAGCTCTTGCGTTAAAGAGTATTTGCGCAAGATCATGCCAATGTAGATGTAGCCAATGTTTAATCCGTTAGCTGATTAAAGAAGGGCATCCGGGGGCTGAAGTGGCTCCATTAGTATGATGGGAGCTGCTCTGGCTAAGCTGGAGTACCCTCCACCCACTGCTCCAACCCTCCATTCCCCACTGGTTAACAAGAACTGGTTAGCCTCACCCATTACAGATGAGGCTTTACTAGTTAACCACTCACATCCCTAGTTTTTATCCTAGTTCTGTAAAACTGTGTTTTTACAAATCATAACTGAGCTAAGTATCCTCTAATAGTTCATCTATCACTTTTCATATACACTTAATTCCATTAGGGCAAAATTCTGGAGTTTTTAATGAATTGTATTCAGCCTTTTCTTAAGGCGCACTTGTTTATGTAAAGGTTCAGGTTCTGGCTCTTAATGTAGGCATGTTTGATATATATTACTGGCCCTTGCTATCTGAAAAAGGGAAATACTTAGTTTTGGGAACAGGGTATGAGGCAACTGGTAGTGCAGCTAAATATTTTAAATATTGAAGTTGAGTTAATGTATCCATAAAAATAAAGTTAGTCTTATTATTCCGTAAGTCTGTTCCAGTACTTAGACTACTTTGTGTTTAGAAGTGCCGAAATAATCTCTTGTCAAAATATTTGTCCAGAGGACCAGAACAACAAACATGTAATCCAAAAATTACCAATAAAAAGTGATTCCATTGTTACTTTTATTGTTGGTTACAAATTGGGTAGGTCTGCAGTAGTCCTCTTTGCCCCTTTTAAACTGAAAGTGACCACCAATGGGTGTGCAACTGCTAGTTCCTTGCTTCTGTTCCTAAGATGTCAAACACTTTGTAGTATCTCTCATGTTTTTATGCTTTTCTTTACATAAGTAGTGAAAAGCCTGGATTAATTTTTTTTATGCCCAAATTGATATCTTAGCTGTGTTTTTTATCGTTGGTCTAAAATATTTCTTTTGCAGTTTGTGATGGGTATTCTTTTAAAGAAGAATGCAAGTTCTAGGCATGATCACAAAGCTACCTTTGAGATGGAAAGGTTTTTCATGAGTGTACAGAAAAAAGTATGTTTCTTTAGCTGCAGAGATAAATGTTTATAAGCTCAGAACTATTATGCTTCTAAGAAACAGAATGTATTAAAATAATAAAGGTCACTTTTTAAAGATTGCTTCAAGCTTTCTCCTTTATTACTGCAACATAGGATTTAAAAGTAAACAATCTTTTCCCAATATTATATAAATACGATTCTACTCCTCTGAAACCAATATGCCTTTCTATAGGATTTTTCATCAAAACATATCAACTGTAGTCCCCAGCTAGCTGCTTTTTTTCCTTCTTTACCCTTAAAGGGTTAGATGCAAGTCAATTTGATGACTAACAGTAGCTTGATGGAGAGCGGGGGAGAGAGAAGGTACTCTGCAAAGGAAATAAATCTATAAAGAGTGAGTTAAAATACCTAGCTGGCTGAAGTAGTTGTTCCACAGCACTTCTCAATTGTTATCAGCTGGAAAATGTAGAATATTTTGTCTCATAACAGTGGACCTAAAAGTAAATAGTGTGTACAGAGTGGTTATGGTTCTACACTGTTTCTGTCCAATTAAATTGACTTTCACTAAGTTTCACTCGAGGAAGGTCATGTAATGGGTTGTGTATGCATTTAAATATTTTAACTATCACTAACTAAAATCTTGAGACAGCAGTCCACAAAATATCCTTAGTTTATTTAGTGTTCTTTGCCTTGTTCTATGGTTTCAGTTATCTTATGATGCAGATTATTGTAAATACTTTGCATAATTGCTTAGTAGATGTTGTCAGGGAGGCATCTGGAAGTGCTGATGACCAATTGGGAAACAGTAGGATTTTTGAGCCTGGTGTGGTATTTTTAGGCTACGTCTGCATTGGCAAGATTTTGCGCAAATACTTTTAACGCAAGAATTTTTGCGTTAAAAGTATTTGCACAAGAGAGCGTCTACACTGGCATGTGCTTTTGCGCAAGAGATGTGCTTTTGGCCATTTTAGCCATTGGGCTTTCTTGTGCAAGAAATGCGTGTTACCTGTCTATGCTGGCCTCTTGAGCAAGAACAGTTGCACAAGAGGGCTTATTCCTGAGCGGGCGCATCATAGTTCTTGCGCAAGAAGCACTGATTTCACACATTAGAACATCAGTCTTCTTGCGCAAGAACTCCCCGCCAGTGTAGACAGGTAGCATGTTTTTGTGCGAAAGCAAGTGCTTTTGCGCAAAATCATGCCGATGTAGACACAAGCCTTAGTGTTTAGAGTTAATAATCTATAGAGATGAATGGGAGCTTCTCACATCTCAGAAGTACTCTTTCAGGATTTCTACAGATTAAAGAATGCAATATGGTATAAGTTTGTTTTTATTACTTTTCCACAGCCCTGAGGACTAAAAATGAATACTCTTTAAAAAAAAAAAAAAATTTTTTTAAACCCTGAAACCTTAGGTTCTGGAGTGCAATTTTGCAAGAATATGTGATTCTACAGAATTCTGGAATATGTGGAGCACTAAATGTCTCTTCAATCAATTATTTTACCATTCTGTTAAGTCTGACAAGTGCTTTCTGTAAACTTATCTCTTCTAAAAGTATATGGGAGAATTTTGTCTCTTAAATCTCTGCAAATGAAAATGAGATGATGTTGCACATACCCAGTCCCACATAAGCGATAATGGGTATTATATGTCCAGGCATCTCTGGACTTAATTCATCCCACAAATCTTGAGTTCCTCTGGGAAACTTTTATTCATTAAATCCTTTTTTTCCTGTGTAACTAGTCTGCTTGAACCCAAATTTAATATGTCCAAGTAGTACAACTATTCTCCTTGCTTATATCTTATACAAGAGAGTGAATCCTATCAAGTCTCAATTTTTTTGCTAACCTGTTTTCAGTCAGGCTAAAGAACTGCTTCCTGTTCTTCCTTGAGAACTTACTCCTTTCTCTCTTTAAACTCATCTTTTCCTGTTTGTCCATTTAATTCCAGCTCCCTTTAAAATATACTATTCCTTTTATTTTTTCCTGAAGAATTTCTCTCACTGTTTTACTAATTGGGCTTGCTGATTGTGATAGTTCTCTTGAGATTTGTAGCACCTTGCTTGCTTTTTGTTCTGTCCATTGACTCTCTTACTGGTTTTAAACTACGCTACTTACTAGAAGTATAAATCAAGGCTTTTGGCCACAGTGGTTCTAGGATTCTTTCTTTTGCTGATGTGTTTCTCTATCCCCAGGTGCATGTTGACATCTTGCATATTGCTGTTTGATACTAAACAGTCCATGATTTCTGCATTAGTGTAGAGGCATTAGCTCCTGCCAAACTCATGGCAAATCAAAGTAGGTGACCATGTGCTTTCAAGTAAGCTTAAGTCTACACTGCCAATTTACTGCACTGCAACTTTCTGATTCAGGGCGCAGCAAGTTACAAGCACTGTAAAGCACCAGAGTAAAGGGGGCTATAGTGTTAGGAGCCATATTCCCAGCACAGCTAGCTACTCCTCCAGGTGGTTTACCTAGAGTTTACTCTCCTAGCACTTCTGATGTGGCCACTCTGCCATGCTGAAGTGCTGCTGCGACTGCACTTTCTACTTTCAAGTGTGGACAAAGTCTTAGAATGGTATACGTGCTGTGATATAACAGCAGACTGCACTCATGAATGTTATGCGACATGCTTAGATTTTTAGGGAGGTTGAATGAGCCACTCCTTGGCCACTCCAGCTTTAGACACTGATACCTTTTGATACAAGGGTATATTTTTAGAAATGTGTAACCTTTGTTATTTTTACTTTTACTCAAAGTAGGAATGCTCAAGTGTTAAATTGATTGGTTCTACTTTCCGTTTGAATGAGTTTTAGCAGAACGCTAGCTATGTCTGCACTAAGGAGTTATACACATTTTATTGCTAAGTAGCTTTTTGTGAAAGACTTCAGTGCAGCCAAGGCTTAAGACTTCACCTTGTATGGCTTTAACGCGAATTTTAATATCTTTGAGCCAGCTGATAACTTTCAAAATTGGTCACAGAATATCCTATTTAAAAATGTAAGCCTTTTTTCTTTTCTTTTCAGAACACTGTAATGTTGTGTTTGACTTAATAGGCACAGAAAAAGTACGGCAAGCTCTGGACTGTAAACATCTCCATGTTGTAAACCCTGACTGGCTGTGGAGCTGCTTGGAGCACT